AAAACTCACTGCAAAAAAAAGGTCTCATTTCTTCACTTAGTTTTTTATTTGCCAATGACCTTCACAGAATCACAGAAATGTTACAGCACAGAAGGAGGCTTCTCAGTTGATTGGGTTTCTAACAGATCAGTGAATGGGCATCATGACTTTAATGCCATTCTGGTTTACCCCTTACCCTTGCAAATTGTTTTATTAACATAATCATCTAATTCCCACTTGAGTGCCTCAATTGAGCCTGGCTTTAGCACACTTCCAGACAATTCATTCCAGACTGAAACTTTTCGTGAAAAAGTTTTTCTCACGTCACATTTGCTACATTTATAAATCACTTTAAATCTGTGGCCTCTTGTCCTTGATCATTCTACAAGTGGGAGCAGTTTCTCCCTATCTAGTTGAACCAGATACCTTGTGATTTTGAAAACTTCTATCAGATCTCCTCTGAGCTTTCTCTCCAAGGAGAATGGCCCCAACATTGCCAATCTATCCTCATGACTGAAGTTTCTCATCCATGGAACTCTTGTTGTAAATGTCTACTGCACACTCTCCAAGTGTTCACATGCTCCCGACAATGTGGCACCCAGCACTGCACACAATTCTGTAGCTGACAAGTGTCCTGTATAATTGCCCCTTTCAGTAAAGCCCAGGATAACATATGCTTTATTAATTGCTGTCTCAACCTGTTTTCCCACCTTCAGCGATCTGTGCACATGTACACCAGGTTCCTCTTTGCTTGCACGCCCTTCAGTGTTTTACTCCTATTTTATACTGTTCATCCATGTTCTTCCTACCAAAATGCATCTCCTCACACTTCTCTGCACTGAACTCCATCTGCCAACTTTATCTGACCACTCCATTAGGTTTTCTAAGTCATTTTGGATTTCTGCACTATCCTCCTCACAACTTACAATGCTCCCAAATTTCATATCATCTGTGACTTTGAAACTGTCCTCTCCACACCAATGTCTAGATAGATATATAGCAAAATATATGCATACATAAGACACATACATACATATAGCTACATATATGAAGAGGTAATGGACTAGTAGTATTAACCCTAAACTATTAATCCAGACATTCAGCGAATGTTCTAGGGATCCAAGTTCAAATCCTGCCATGGCAGATGGTAGAATTCGAATTCAATAAAGAGTCAGGAATTAAAGGTCTACTGACAACCACAAAATCATTGCCAATTGTAGGAAAACCCCATCTAGTTCACTAATATCCTTTTGGAAGGAAATCTGTCATCCTTAGTTGGTCTGGCCTATATATGAATCCAGACACACAGCAATGTGATTGACTCTTAGGAGTTAGGGATGAGCAATAAATGCTGGCCTAGACATAAATGCCCACATCCTGTGACTCAATAAAAAAATGTATATCAAGGAAAGCAAGGGACCCAGTACTGACCACTGGGGAAATCTACTGCAAACATTCCTTCAGTCCATAAATTATCGGTTCACCACCACTCTCTCTTTTCTGTTACCTAGCCAGTTTTGTATTCGCCACTATCCTTTCTATACCATGAGCTATAACTTTATTTGCAAATCTGTCACATGGCACTATTTTGAATGCCTTTTTAAGATCCATGTACAACACATTAATGGCACTATCCTTATCAACCCTTTCTGTTCCTTCTTCGAATAACATCAGCAAGTTAGTTAAACATGATTTCCTCTTTAGAAACCCATGATAGCTCTTCCTAAACCACCCACCTTTTTCCATGTGAACACTAATCCTATCCTGAAATGGAGTTTCTAGAGACTTCCCCACCACAGAAGTTAAATTGAAAAGTATGAAATTACCAGGCTTATCCTTTATTGAACAAGAGAGTGAAGTTTGCAATTCTCCATTATTCTGGCACCCTAAACCTCAGAAAGACTGAAAGACTATGTTTAGTGGCTTTTACAATTTCCACTCTCACTTCCTTCAATATCCTTGGATGCATCTCATCTTGTCCTGGTTTTTTGTCAACTTGAAGTATCAGCACTTCCTCCTTATCAATGCTGATCCCCTCTGATAACAGAGTTTCCCCTGTCATCATGGCCTGGGTAGAATCTTCCTCCTTGGTAAAGACAAATTTATGTAACGGCTCAGCCATGCCTCTTGTCTCCATGTATAAATCCCTGCTTTGGCCTCTAATCCACCCTATCCTTCCTTTCACCATCCTTTTTGCATTAATGTCCCTATAGAAGACTTCAGGATGCCCTCTATGATGGCCGTTAGTCTTGTCTCTGAATTTTTCTTTGTTTCTCTAATCTGCTTTTTGATTTTGCCCCTGAACCTTTTGAATTCTTCTTGGTTCTCTGTCACATTTCCCACTTGATATGGGTCACATATTCTTTCTTTTTCTTCATTTTCATCTCCTTTCCCCCTTCAAAGAGCTCTGGGTTTCTTTTATTGCCCTCCCTTTGCCTTTTGAGGGAAGGTACATTGATTGTACCTGAACTGTCTCCTCTTTAAATGGATCCAATCGCTCAGTGACAGTGTTTCCTGCCAACCTTTTGTTCCAATCTATCTGGCCCAGTTCTGTTCTTGTCCCATTGAAGTAGGCTGTCCCCACCTCTCCTCCCTAGTTAGTCATTCTGACGCTAGATTGCCAATTGTTCTTTTCAACCTCATTCTTACAGTACAATGATCACTGTCTCCTAAATGTTCTCCCACTAGCACTTTATCTACTGCAGGGTAGTGCCCTGGACTCAACAATTCAGCTTTATTCTTGACAACCTTTTTTTTTGAAATTCATTCACAGGACGGGGCCGTCTAATGTGACTCTTCTTCGGAAACCTCTTCAGCTGGTGTATTCTGGATAATGAGAACTCACTGCATAAAAAAGTACCTTATCTTTCCTCTGATTTCTTTTTTGCCAATCATCTTAACAGAATCACATGCTTCATTCTGCTATTTCTGATCTCACTTATGTTTGTCGCTAGGAGTAAACAAAAGATTGTTATGTTTGAGGTCTTGCTACCTAGCTCCATAACTTCTGATACAAAAACAAAAATCACTGGAAAATCTCAGCAGGTTTGACAGCATCTGTGGACAGAAATCAGAGTTAATGTTTCGGGTCCAGTGACCCTTCTTCTATAACTTCTGATTGCAGGATCACATCCCTCTTCCAATCTAAATGGACCACAACTTCTGACTGTTCACCCTAGCCCAGAAGAATGTCCTCTAGTGACTCTGTGGACCTGGTAATGGCAGGACAAGTTAAGAAGTACAGTAGAAATGATTCACCACTATCAGAAGAGATGGACATGGGTACTTTGTGGCAAGATCACAGGAACAATCCCAGAACTGAGGTCATATGTCACATGGAAGCTAGAACTATCTCTACTGGCAGGATATCTCCTATGGGGAATGAGGATAATCATTTCACTACAGCTAAGAAAATGTGTGTTAAATTAACTGCATAAAGGAAACTGTGGTGTTGTCAGAATGAAGGCCTTAGCCAGGACTATTTTCAGTTTGATTCGGAAATTGAGGAAAAATATGTGCAGTTTGTGCAGGAGTTCGCAACCTACCTCCAATTAACATCATTACACCCCAGGAAGTGGCCAGAAAGACCAAGAACACAAGTTGACTACACTGGACCTTTTGAAGGGCAGATGTTCTTGGGCATACTAAATGGCCTAACATTGCCATCAAAAAAACAACGTTCCAAGAAAACTATTGAACGATTGGGGAGATCTTTGTGAGGTTTGGTTATTCAGAACAACTCGTTAGTGATAATGGTCCCTCATTGATGCAGTAATTCAACATATCTGATCAGCTCTTTATCACCCTGCCACAAATAGAGTCATAGAGTAATACAGCATGGAAACAGGCTCTTTGGCCCAAACTGGTCCACGTTGACCATGGTGCCCACTCAGCTAGTTCCAATTGCCCGCATTTGGTCCATATCCCTCTAAACCCTTCTCATCTGTGTAACTACCCAAATGTTTTTTATATGTTGCTATTGTACCTGCCTCAACCACTTTCTCTGGCAGCCCATTCCATATACGTACCACTCTGTGCATGAAGAAGTTGCCCCTCAGGTCCTTCTTAAATCTGTCCCCTCTTACTTTAAACCTATGTCCTCTAGTTTTCAATTCCCCATCCCTGGGAAAAAGATTATATGCATTCATCCTATCTATGCTCCTCATGATTTTATACACCTCAATATGGTAACCCCTCATTCTCCTACATTCCAAGGAATAAAGTCCTGTCCTCCCTATAATTGTTTGGCAGAAAGGGTTGGTCAAACAATGCAACTTTCCTTAACAGTAACTTGAGAACAAGGATCACTATCCCAATAATTGAGCCAATTTTTGTTAACTTACCAGAACACAACCCACTAAATGGCTCAAAGTTCTCCATCATTGCTCATGGTAAATGTGTCATTTGTACAGGCATTTGATTTGCTGGAACTGCCCCTGACAAAAGACATCACTTCCAGGAAACAACAGAATCAGGTCTTCCAACAAGAGAACAAAGTCATATGTCATGTTTTTCAAAAAGGTCAAGATGTGTTGGCGAGTAATTATACCACTGGGGCAAAGTGGGTATGAACCATCATTGTAGCATGGACTGGATTGGTCTGGTACACCATACAGGTGAGAGATGATGTAACAGAGAGAAGATATACAGATCAACTCTTGGCAACTAGAACAGGTGTGCCAGGGACAACATGAATTAAAGATCCACAAATAACTGTGTCAAATACAGACCTGAATCTACCTGGGGGCAAAACAATAGCTGAAGCATTTGAAGGAGCCAGTACCTCAGTGGACAATACCACGAAATTGTGTGAAGCTCTGAACATTCACTCCTCTCAGGAAAAGACAATGACAGATGTTGTTTCTAGTACACCTAAAAGACCAGAGGTTAGAGCCAACAAGCGAAATAAACAGACGGCTGAGGGTGCACTGACAGCATATAAGAATTAATGTCCTCTGGAAACTCTGACTTTCTGACTGTTGCATATATGATTGTAAATATTGTGAATTTTTTCACTGCAGGAACCATTGATGTAAAGGGGATGGATGTTGCATATTTGTGTGAGTATGGTGGACTGTCACTTTAACAGTTGTAATGATGATGTCAATGGTCATTTTGGGTAGGAAACAGCACGGTCTAATTTTGGGGCCTGTTGAGTGAACACCTCCTTAATAAAGATCCTGCTATTTAAAACTTCATCCACACACCCCACCCCCTCACATCGCCCACCCCCAAAACCAGGTCCCTTTGCCCCCAAGCTATCTGTACTCCTCACCCCCAGTCTCTCCTTTCACCCAAGGATACCCTGCACTGCTCACCCCCAGTCTACCTGCCTCCTCCACCCACAGATACCCCGCACCCCTTACCCCCAATCTACCTGCCTCCTTCACCCACAGATACCCCGCACCCCTCACACCCAGTCTGCCTGCCTCCTTTACCCCCAGTTTCCCCACAGCCAGCACTCCATATGCTCCTTGCCCCCAGCCTCTCCTCAACCCTAGATTCCCTACATCCCTCGCCCCTGTTATGCCATCCCCAGTCCCCTTGAATCCTTCCCCCCCAATCTCTCCCACAAGCCCTCCTCCTGCAGCGGCAACAGTGAGTGCCAAATGCACAGTTGCTGATGTCTTTACATGCGTGGTGCAGTGACATCAGTGACACCCACTTCCTGTAGCCTGTTGAGTTTGGTTTCTCTGCATTTGCGGATGGCCGTTTTGGTGTTCAGATTAACCACTCTGTTTGACATAAAGCTCTGAACAACAGTTATCCCTCCATCTACATCACAAAATAAAACAATTGACCTGGTAATTATCACATTGCAAGTTGGAGGAGTTTGCTATGTTCGTTTTAGCTGCTGCATTTCCTACATTGCAAGTGTGACTACATTCAAAAACAATGCTGTATTGATTCTATAACATTTTGAAATGCCCGGTGACAGCAAAAAGAGCTGGAAAAATGCAAGTCTTCCTTTTTTTCAACATGTAAGCTCCAGTTTCCTATCACAGACCAAAGATGTTCAGGTTAGGTGGATTGGCCATGGGAAATGCAGGATTACGGGGCTAGGGTGAGGTGGGGTGGTGACTGGGTGTCTGGGTGGGTCGCTCTTTGGAGAGTCAGTGTGGACTCAATGGGCTGAATGGTCTGATTCCACACTGTAGGGATTCTATGATTCTGCGCACCTATAGAACAAGTAAGTGTAAAAGCCATAGAAATAAAACTCAAACTCTGCCTTGCAGCAATTTGCTGCCTACAGCAAGTGGTTATATCCTACTTTCTTATATGACAACAACTATTCATTTGGAAGTTGTCTGCTGTGTTTGCTTACGTAACTAATACATTAATAAAAATTGGATGTGAAGCTAGCTCTTTGGCTCTCCTGCAGATGTGATGAGGTACTGAATGTATATAAATTCTGTACAGCTTTCAAGCTGAGGTGAATTTAGTTATCCCACCCAAACACCTATTAAAGGATGAAATCCATCATATTAAGAACATAAGAACCAGGAGCAGAAGTAGACCATCTGGCCCTTCGAGCCTGCTCCGCCCTTCAATAAGATCATGGCTGATCTTTGGATGGCCTCAATTCCACTTACCCACCCTCTCACCATAACCCTTAATTGCTTTATCGTTCAAAAAATTATCTGTCTTAGCTTTAAAAACATCTAATGAGGAAGCCTCAACTACTTCACTGGGTGGGGAATTCCACAGATTCACAACCCTTTGGGTTCTTCTTTTAGGTTCTTCCTCAATTCAACCCTAAATCTGGTCCCCCTAATTTTGAGGCTATGCCCTCTTGTTCTAGTTTCACGTGCCAGTGGAAACAACCTCTCTGCTTCTATCTTATCTATTCTCCTCATCATTTTGTATCTTTCTATAAGATCCTCCTCATTTCTTCTAAGTTCCAATGAATATAATCCCAGTCAATTCAGCCTCTCCTCACAAAGCCAACCCTCTCTACTCTGGAATCAACCTAGTCAATCTCCTCTGTACCCCCTCCAGTGCCAGTACATCCTTTCTCAAGTAAGGACACCAAAGGTGTACTCCAGGTGTGGCCTCACCAACATCCAATACAACTGCAACATAACCTCCCTGCTTTTAAACTCAATCCCTATAGCAATGAAGGACAAAATTCAATTTACCTTCTGAATTATCTGCAAACCAACCTTCTGTGATTCATGCACAAGGATACCCAGGTCCCTCTGCACAGCAGCATGCTGCAATTATTTTACCATTCAAGTAATAGTTCCTTTTACTGTTATTCATACCAAAATGGATGACTTTACATTTATCAACATTCAATTCCATGTGCCAGACCTTCGCCCACTCACTTAAACTATCTGCAAATTTTCAGAGTCCTCTGCACATTTTGCAGGCTCTGAAAGGAACGAAAAGTTATCAGGGGTAGGCAGGAATGTGGATTTTTGATTACAATTGGATTAGTCTTGATCTTACTAAATGCCAAGACTGGTTTGAAAGGCTGAATGACTTACTCCTGCTCCTTGTTTGTATGTATGGTGCTCATATATCAGTAAGCCTTGCTTGGTGCTTGGGTGTAGCGCTCTAATCTTCAACGGTCCGATAATAGTGGGAATAGTCCAATCCATTAAGTATTGGAAAGCGACACTGGACAACAATCAGTTCTTGGTTATGGCATCCGGGATCTTTTAAAGTTATGAATGTCTTGGAAATGTTGGGGTTAAAACTTTCGCAAAAGGTGTGAGCTGCAACTCCTACCTTGATTCTATTAGAATAATAACAGAAAATGGTGGAAAAACCCAACAGGTCTCACACATCTAGGGGAGAGAGAAGCAAAGTTATTGTTTTCAGTCTGCTATGATTCTTCTTCAGAAGAGTCATATTTCTACAAATGCTGCCAGACCTTCCGAGGTTCTCCAGCACTTTCTGTTTTAATTTCAGATTACCAGCAATATTTTGCTTTTTTGTGATTCAATGAGGCTGTGCACTAGATGGCGCTGAGAGACCACTAAACTTTGGTTCAACTACAATGGTGTCACCATATCCAAATTCATAGAAAACCCTCAATAAATGTGATTATTTGCCACATCATGTAATTCAAAGGTTAACAAAAACATGTAAAAACATATTTCTGTGGTTATCAGACAAAAGTCTTAAAAAGTGATGGTTACCTTCTTCCGTCTCTTATTTTGCTTACAGGAATTGGCCAGCACTTCAGTGCAAAAGATAAGGCTGAAGCATTCACAACAATTTTCAGCCAGAAATGCTGATTGGATGATCCATCTCAGCCTTCTCCGGTGGTCCCCAGCATCACAGACACCAGTCTTCAGCCAATTTGATTCAATTCATGTGATATCAAGAAACAGTTAGAGGAACTGGATAGTGTAAAGGCTATGGGCCCTGACAACATTCCAGCAATAGTACTGATTTCGTTTGATTCATTTATTGTCATGTGTATCTTGTTAAAAATACAGTCAAAACTGTTATAAAGTATCATCACTCTCTGGTACCATCTTATAACACTGTAAAATAATCCAAAGCATAGAGTATAAAGGCAAAAAAAAAAGAAATAAAGAAAGTATCCAACTTTACAGTCCTTCTTGTTAAGTGCTCCGTCATGGGTCAAGGGCCTAATGGCCAGGCACAAGTCCCCTTCACCGCACCACCGCCAATGGAACAAAATTCATCACTTTTTGGCATCCTCGCCACTATGAGCTCTCGATGGGCCTTGCCACTGATGCTGCCAGGTACCAAATGGACCCAAATTTGACTCCGCTGCCACCATGAGTCCACTGTGGGCCCACCTCGCTGATGCAGCTACCACCAATAATAGCCACGTCTTGCACTGGGCCCAAACCCACCTCCGCCACCACCTTTGTGAATCTGTGCAGGATGCAGACTCCGCCAGGAACCCAAACTCGCCCCCGCCGCAGCAGCTGTGAGGAGGAGATGCTAGGACCGCCTCATCGATGCAGAATCTGCTGGCAACCCACACTCTCTACGATGCTACCACCACGAGTCCATACTGCCACCACTGCCATCGCAGCAACCCAGACCTTCACCAAGAGGTAAGTAAAATAAAATAGAAGAGGAAAGAAAACCAAGAGAAGGGAAAGAAAAGAAATGAAAGAAAAGCAGATACAGCAGATAAGCCCCAGGCTCAGTAGCCCTACTTCACCACCATCTTACTGGAAGCCAGACTTGTGCTCCAGAACTTACCACACTCCTAGCCAAGCTCTTCCACTATAGTTACAATACTGGCATCTACCCAACAATGTGGAAAACTGCCCAGGTATGTCCTGTATACAAAAAGCAGGATAAATATAACTTGTACGATCATCAGTAAAGTGATGGAAGGTGTCATCAATAGTGCCATCAAGCAGCACCTTCTCAGTAGTAACCTGCTCAGAGAGGTTAAGTTTGGGTTCTGCCAGGGCCACTCGGCTCCTGACCCCATTATAGCCTTGATTCAACCAAGGGCATCAGTGATTCCAAACTTGTACACGTTCTTACGTCTTTGTAAAGACCTCCATGTCTATTCAGGATGCTGTTTTCTCATGGATGCTTCCCCAGTGGGTAGCTGGTTATAACCTTGGGCCAAATTGAGCCTGCGGAAATAATTTGTACCTTTGAGGACTTGCCATGCTTCCTCAATCCTGGCTGGAAAGAGAGCATCCTCACAAGTCTTTTTGCCAAGTGCTCAGTTATTGATACAGACCCACAGTTTTCTGACTTTCTTCCTAATGAGGGAGGTGTGTGGATCTGATCACTGTCAAATTACACCTCAGACTTTCTTCCAGTGACAGGATGGGATTTGGAAGTAGGGAGTGTTTACTGGATGGTTATCTTTGGTCACAGCCCTATGGTTCAACAGGTCACAATATCTAGTCATCATCACCTTTATTGAAAGTCATCCCATACTTAAAGAAAGTGGAAGCAAACTGCTCCTTTAGTGTCCTTCAATGTACTATCACATAATAGTCATAATGAGTAAGAGTTGCATATAAAGAATGGTATTTTTAAGAAATGAGGTCTATACTTACACATTCCTTGCGTACAGATTGACCTGCATGATATCTCAATATTTCATGTGTTAGCCCATTCTAGGTGAGATAGCCAGCCCTCACTGCACTGTCATTTGATGACTGCACCCTGCTCCCAGCTCCTGCACAGAACCCAGCACAAGCTGACCATGTTGGCTACCCATCAGGCCAGCACTCCTCAGGAAGCAATTCCATGAGATTTTGTTGACCTACTTGGCCATACTCAAAAGACCCCTCAGGCTACATTGACCCAAGTTTGAAAACTACTGTTTTAGATGTGTATTTGGACAAAAATGAAGCACTTTTGCAAACGATATATCTGCTGCAAGTAGATCCACAATGCTTTTGGGGCTTTTCTGGTGACCTGTATGCTTTCATTTCTTTATTGAGACTTCGTAGTAATGGAGACAACTAAATGACTTGCTCGGCCATTTCAGAGGGCAGTTGAGAGTTGCCCATGTTGCTGTGATTCTGGAGTCACATGTAGGCCAGGAGGATGGCAGATTTCTTTCCCTGAAGGACATTTGTGAGCCAGGTGGGTTTCATGGATATCAGTAGATTCTTAATTACATTTCTTTTCATTGAATGCAAATTCCACTGTCTGCCATGGTGGGATTCAAACCCGGGTCCCCAGAACAGTCAATGAGTTTCTGGATTAATGCCTCCTCAACTGCTGACTTGAATGGGGTTCTCATGCATAGCAACAATATTTTGCAGGTTATCATGGAATGTGTGGTTACCTTAATGGTTGTTACCACTGAGCTCACTCTGAAGGAGTCTATGTTTCCAGTAGAATCTTAGACATGAGGTTGTGGGCTTAGCCTGGAAGGTTCAGAAACCAAATGGATCAGGGCTACTGTAAGATCATGGATATCTTGTAGTGTGCTGTCTTACAGATCAGCGATGATGCTGAGCCGCAGCTCTATAGCACAGAAACTCAAGTAATAGGAATGAAAGGAACATGCTGATTAGTTGGAAAATAAACTTTGATTGGTAACCTTGGAGAATAAACCAGTGAACAAAAACTGCCAAGTATTGATGAAATTTTAAACAAGGCGGGTTGACTAAGTCTGGTCAAAGCATTGTTGGAGAGTGGCTGTCACCAATTTTGAACCAGACACGGTGTGTATCGATGTCCTTTCTGTCTGCAAAGAACAAGACCCTGTGCATTAATATATGTTGCATCCAGTACTTACAAATGAGTCATACTGCAAGCCAGACTGATGATTCTAATAATTCTCTACACGCTCAGGACTATGGAACAAATCTTACCCAATCATGGAATCACATCAAATGTTAGACAGTGTATTGTGAGTTTTGCAAGCAGAGGTTGGTTGGGTATGGACAGTAACCTGATTGTTGTGAATCGCCTAAGGCATATACTAGTTGAGCTAATCTGCTATTCACGAGGATGTGAGGCATATGTACCTGGCATCACATCAGCTCTGCAATTCATATGCCACATTACTCATTAATGTGAAAGGCACCAACTTTTTAGCACAAACTTTGCAAACCTTTGAGAAACCTCACTCCTCCAGGATAATCTGAGGTCGATGCACTTCAGGATAAAAGTGATAGCTTGAGGCCCATTTGTGATTTTGTACAATATACAGGGAGAAATGATCTAACTGGGATTGCCATTGTCCTGTGGGAATAGAATAGATGTGTTCTTTTCAGCATCAAGCTGGCACGGTGAACGAGTGGCCCTATTTATGAAGTTGCTGACAAAGCCAATTTTAAAGCACACGGAAGTGGAGGAATCCCAATGTGTAGACTGACCAGTGAAGGTAATTTTAGTACATAGAATCATACAGTAAAGAAGAGGCTATTGGGCCCATCCATACTGAACTGCCAAAAATACCCTACTACCTACACCAGTCCTACTTTCCAGCACTAGGCCCATAGTCTGGATGTTATGACACTTCAAGTCCTCATCCAATTACATTTTAAAGTTTGCGAGGTTTCCTGTATCAACAACCCTTCTAGGCATTGCATACCAGGTTCCCACCACCCTCTGAATGAAACAGTTTTTCCTCAAAATCCTCTAACCTTCTTGTCTTTCACTTTAAAATTATGTCCCTTGTTATTGGCCTCTTAACTAAAGGGAACAGCTGCTTTCTATCCACCCTGTCCATGCCCATCACAATCTTCTACACCTTTATTAGGTCGCCCCTCAGCCTTCTCTGCTCCAAAGCAAACAACCTGAGCTTATTCAGCTTCTCCTCATAGCTAAAATGCTCAATCTGAGAGAACATCCTAGTGAATCTCCTTTGCACCCTCTCCAGTGCAATTGCATCCTTCCTATAGCATTGTGACCAGAACTTCACGCAGTACCTCAGCTGTGGCCTAACCAAAGTGATGTACATTTCCAAAGTGACCTTCCGGCTCTTACAATCTATACCACGACTGATAAAGGCAAGTGTCCCGTATGCCTTCTTAACTACCCTATTTACCTGTCCTGCCACCTTCAGGGATCAAGCACCCCAAAAACTGTTCCTCTGAGTTTCCTAGGGTCCTTCCTTTCTTTCAGTACCCCGTTGTCTTTTTCCTTCTTCCAAAGTGCATCACTTCACATTTATCAGGGTTAAATTCTATCTGCCACCGATCTGTCCATTTTATACCTTCTACCTCACTGTCAATCTTTATGTCATCTACACATTTACATATCATCCTCCCCACATTCTCATCTACATCATTTATGAATATCACAAACAATAAGGAACCAAGCACTGATCCCTGTCTGTGCCACTGCACCAGGAGCTGAAGTCACAAATCAGCTTCCTACCAGCACCCTCTGTCTCCTGTCACTAAAGCCACTTGAATCCAACTAGCCAGGTTACCATGGATCAAATTAACTTTTACCATCTCTATCAGTTTCCCATGTGGTACCTTGTCAAAGGCCTTGTTAAAATCCATATAAACAGCATCAACTATCCTACCCTCATCCAACCATTTAGTCACCTCCTTGACAAATTCACCAGATTTGTTAGGCATGACCTCCCTCTGACAAAGCTATGCTGATTATTCCTAATCAAACTTTGCCCCTCGAAATAGAGATTAATTCTTTGCTATTTTCTCCAATGGTTTCTCTCCCACTAATGTTTGAGTCACTGGTTTTAGTTCCCTGGTTTATCTCTATCCATTGTTCATTTCAAATGCCTCTGAAACAGGAAACTCTTTAGACTTTAACTGTGCAAGTCAC